GTTAAGGCGCTGGGCTCCCACATGGCCAACCATGGTTCAAGTCCCAAACCTGGCAGCTTCAAAATCATGCTGGGTGCATGTACATGCATGCCCAAAATCCCAGGAGGAGAAGGGATTGTGGCATGGCCACCCCACCTGGGGGGCGATTTCTCACTTTCCTTCTCACTGTCTCTCTCTGGTGAGCACATGCACCCTAGAGGAAAAACTGAGGACTTCAGCTTTTTTTTTTCTTTTTTTTTTTTTTTTTTTTATTTGTAGAATGTTTTTTGGGTGTACAGAAAAAAATATGAAGCCTCTAATCTGCCTAAAACAGAAATATATATTGAAGAAGCTGTGTGTGTAAATATTTATATTTTGTTTTAATTATGATTTGCATTGTTATCCTAGATTATAAAAGAGTATGAAAGAGCCATCATCTTTAGATTGGGCCGCATTTTACAAGGAGGAGCCAAAGGACCTGGTCAGTACTTGGGTTGGGGACTGTTTGGCCTCTGACATGCTTATTGTTGGTGTAATTTCCTTTCCAGGAGCCTCTTTACTGCCGACCTAGGAAAGAGTTCACGCAGTAGAGGTTGTTTAACAATAGCAGTGGCTCTAGCCAGTCTTATTATTAACGTGCTTTCCTTTACACCCTTCCCCTCCTCTTCCCATCTGAGCTGATAAGTTTATCGGAGACCAGAAATAGCTATAGCTCTAGAAGTTTGAGCATGAGAATTCCTACCAAGGAAAGGCTCTGAGCCATTACCCATTGGGCACCTATTGTGTTTCAGGCTTAGAGGATTCAAGGGAGACTAAAGCACAGTCCCTACCCTCAGGAGTCTCACTGTCTAGTGGTGAGACACCATCAAGGACAGATGGCTACAGTCGCACAGAGTAAGAGTTAAGACTGGGACCAGCAGATGACGTAATGGTTATGTCGCTGGACTATCATGGAGTCGACCATGGTTCAAGTTCCAGACCCAATGGCTTAAAATTCACACCGGGAAAATGTGCATGTGTCCCCAAAATCCCAAGAGGAGAATGGAGGAGAAGGGATTGCAGCATGGCCATCCCCCCTAGGGAGTGATTTCTTGCTTTCTGTCTCTCTGTCTCTGTCTCTCCAGTGAGTGCACGCACCCTATAGCAAAAATCTTTCTTTTTTAAATCTCATTAAAAAAGAAGCTAAGATCAACTAATTCCAGAGAGCTGTGAGAAAAGAGAAACCCAGAGAAGAGTGACCAGTATGAACTAGCAATGGATGAACTATCTGGAGGTGATATCTTGGCTGAGTCTTGAAGAATAAAATGTATAAACCTGGGGATGGCAGGTGATGTAGTAGTTGAGGCACTCACTTCCCACATGACCAAACACAGTTCGAGTCCCAGACTCAGAGGCTTGAAACTCACATGGGGCGTGTGTATCCCAATTCCTGAGAGGAGAATGGAGGAGAAGGGATTGCAGTGTATGTGTGTGTGTGGGGGGGTAGTTTTCTCTCTGTCTCTTTCTGTGTCTCCAGTGAGTGTATGTGCCCCTGTAGCAAAATAAATAAATAAATAAGTAAATAAATAAAAATTTAAAAAAATAATGGTGTGAGCCCATGGAAGACATTCTCAGCAAAAGCAGTAACATGTACAAGGCAACGCAGAGAAGAGACTGTGGCAGATTCAGGAACAAGGCAGCTCTGTCCAGAGAGAGTGCAGGGTGGAAAGAGAGGGGAAGCGCTGAAGGGGTGAGCCGAGGCGGGTCACGCAGGACCTTGGACGGGGCAAAGTTTGCATTTTGAGGAAGAGTCTCTGCTTGTAGCTTAGGAACTGGATCAGAGGAGAGAGACTACGAGAACTAGAACGATGGTCTAGGAAGTGGTTCCGTAAGTCATTGTGGAAAGAGAAAGTGAGAGGAACAGGAGCGCGAGGACATGAACTCCACAGGCTTCGCTGGGGACAGGTAGATGTGGGACGCCGGCAAGAGGAGGCGAGGATGACATCCTTGACTTCTGCCTAAAACAGTTGGTGACTCAGTTGATCAGGCTGATCCTCCTAGAACTAAGTGGGGAAGTGAACCGATTAGGTGCTGGTCTCTCTGTAACCCTCTATGTCTCTGTTGCAGGTTTGTTTTTTATCCTGCCATGCACTGACAGCTTCATTAAAGTGGACATGAGAACGATCTCGTTTGATATTCCTCCTCAGGAGGTAAGGGTTTCTTGTGCTATGAGGAGCCATTATCATAAGAAAAAGTCCTCACCGTGAAAGGCAGCTTAGCTCTTGGGTCATTGGAAAAGTCATGATGCATGTTTGCATAGACAAATAGAAAAGTACGTCACGATTTTTCCAACAAGCCAATAGAACGTAGACTTTAGAGCCTACTACCTTTGCCATTTTTTAAGTTGGTGACCTTGAGTAAATTCTTTACCTTCTTTATGTTTCTGTTCCCTCATCTATAAAACAGATTATAGTAGAAGACCCTACTGTATAGAGTTGTTATAAAGAGTAAATGAAATATTCTGTGTAAAGCGCCTTGAACTGTGCCTGATAAATACTATAGTTAGTGCCATGGAAGTGCTTGTTGTTATAAAACAGTGTAACAGAGACCAGCAGTTAGCATAATGGCTATGTCGCTGGATTCCCACGTAGTCGACCGCGGTTCGTGTCCTGGAGCCAGTGGCTTAAAATTCACGTCAGACGCGTGTGCGTGCGTGCCCAAGATCCCGAGAGGAGAATGGAGGAGAAGGGATTGCGGCATGGCCATCCTCCCTGGGGGGTGAATTCTCGCTTTCTGTCTCTCTGTCTGTCTCTGTCTGTTTGACGCGTCCTATAGCAAAAAAAAAACCTCTCCAAAAAAAAAATAAATAAAACAGTGTAACATTTTTATAACATTAACATCATCATTGTCATCATCATTTTTTAAAGGATTTTATCTCACTTCATTTATTATTATTATTATTATTATTATTATTTAATTTGACCAGAGGGAGACAGACAAAGACAGAGGAGGAAAGTGAGAAAGCCTCCAGGTCCAGGACTTGAACTGTGGTGGGCCACGAGGGAGTCCAGCGCCTTCAACCACCACACTACCTGCCGACCCATCATCATCATTTTTATTACCACATTTCTTCTCTATGGGTTTCTGATAGGAAATCCTATTTAGTGTAATATTCTTTCTTCTTAAGGTTCTTGATTTTATTCTAGAGGAATTGGTTAGAAGCCAAAGAACTAGGAATCGCTCATTTGGCATTTTAGAAAGGCACACATAGTTTGCATTAATAATTATTTAGTGCTTTTTCAAGGTGCTTCACAAATACTATCACAGCTGAAAGGCACGGCAAAATGTATAGCGGTGGGAGACAAAGGAGTCCTAGCTTCAGGGGCAGGGCCAGGACTCACTCCAGCTTTCTGCCTCCCCTGTCTCTTTTTGTGGAGGTTTCTGTGCCAAACACATTCTGCATTCGCCCCACCAGGGGCCTCCAAGCGTGATGGCACCCTGGTACCCATGTCTGAAGAGACATAAGAAAGACAGCCACAGCCCCGAGGAAGGGAGGGGCAGGTTGTTGTTAGTGTTCCCTGGCCAGGGGCCAGGTACTCAGTGTGGGGTAGAATCAGACCATGTTGCCTTCTCTTATCACAAAATCAAGAAAACCACTTAGGAACTTCCTTGCCGGGACAGATCCTGAGAGTTGGAGAGGTCAGACTTTATGACCCTACAAACCTGGTGATGCCAGGAATCGTTGTCATCCACGTTTTACTCAAGAACAAGACTGAGAGCATCACTATATTCTCTCATGTTTTCCCATTTCTCAAGGAAAATGGACTCAGAAGGAGCCCTTTCAGGGTAGCCTGGAATTCTGGCCTTTCCTCTGTAAATACCGCGGGCATCTGGCAGGGTAGCTGAGCTTCGGCTCTCCAGCTGCTCCCACCCCTCCCACAAGCCGCTGAGCACAGAGTGGATTGGAACTTGGCAAACAGGCCCTTTCCGATCCCCTGTGAACTCGCCGTGCAGGGAGATAAACACTCTGCCTACGATAAACAGTAGGCAGAGAAGCTGCAGCTTCAGAAAACAGCTGTGGCAAAGTCATAGTGGCAAGAATTTGTTGAGAAATGACACACATTTTCCCATCACCTCAGGAGAAATCATTTTCACCCAAGATGGTAATACACTGTCCATTTATTTACAACCCCCCCACGGCTCTTGCAAGTTCGAAGTATTTGGGGATTACTAAAAAAAGAAGGATTACTGCTGGGAGGCCTGGCAGGGCTCAGCAGCTGGGTCACAGCATCGTTTCATCACACAGATCTTGACATGTTCAGAAGGGCTTCGTTCCCACACGTCTTTCTAGTTGATCTTCACAGAAATTTGGATAGACTTGGGGGTGAAGGGTAATATCTTGCTTTCTGTCTCTGTCTCTCTCTGCCTCTCCAGTGAGTACACGTGTCCTATAGCAAAAATCTCTTTTAAAAATGGGGGACAGTGGGGCCAACAGGTGGTGTGGTGGTGAAAGGTGCTGGATTCCCACATGAGTGACCGCAATTTGAGTCCCGGACCTGGTGGCTTGCTTTCTTGCTTTCCCTCTCTCTGTCTCTCTCTGGTCAATTTAAAAAATAATAATAACAAATGGAATTAAATACATAAATAAATAAATAAATAAAAATGGGGGCAGCAAGTGGCATAGTGGTTAAGGCACTGGACTACTCCCTCAGCCAACTTGGCCAACTGCGGTTTGAGTTCCAGACTTGGCAGTTTGAAACACACTGGGTGTGTGTGTGTGTGTGTGTGTGTGTGTGTGTGTGTGTGTGCTCACAATCCCAAGAGGAGAATGGAGGAGAAGGGATTGCAGCATGGCCATCCCCTTTGAATAGAACTGGGCACTACCATCAGCCCTGTCTCCTAAATGAGGAATCTGTGTGTCAGAGGAGTTAAAAGCCTTGTTTGAGGGACCAGCAGGTGGCGTAGTGATTAAGATTCTGGACTCACACATGGCTGCCTGAGGTTCAAGTCTCATACTTGGCAGCTTGCTTTCTCACTTTCCCTCTCTCGATCTCTCTCTCTCTCTGTCCCTCTCTGGTGAATTAAAAATAATAAAAAGAAGAAGAAATCATTCTTTTCTTTAAAAAAGCCTTGCTAGAGGCTGCCCAGGGGTTGAGGGAAGAGCTGGATCACAGCACAGGCCTCCTGCCTGCCGTCCCTGTCCCCTTCATCCCTCACTATTCCTAGAACCGCGTTCCAGTTCAGTTCATCTTGGTGACACCTGCTATGTAACTAGTGCTCTGCCAGTGCTGGAGATACAAAGAAAAACTGCCCTTAAGACGTTCACAGGGGGCTGGATCCACATGGTTGACGGTGTGGTTTGGATCCTGGAAAGACCAGGTGTATGTGCACGTGCATGCCCCAGATCCCTACAGGATGGAGAAATAGAGAAGGGTTTATGGCATCGCCGTGCCCCTTTCTCCTTTCCCTCTTTCTCTCTCTACCTCTCTCTGGTAAGCACACAAACCCCCTGGCAAAATTAAACAAAAAAAAAAAAAGAAAGAAAGAAAGAAAGAAAAGAAAAGAAAAGGAGAAATTCTTTGTCTACTAGAGAAGTAGTGGTGTAAATCAGGAATGTCTCTATAGTGAGGTCAAGTGGACGTGCAAGGGGGGACCTAACTCTGCTCAGACCGAACGGTGCATAGAACATGCAGTGTGATGTGAGGGAGCCAGAGGGAGGACAGTCGGGCAGAGGCAGCTGCTGCACGCGGCCTGGCAGCATGCAACATGGGGGAACAGGGACCTCATTGGGGTTGGTGTAGAGTGTGTGCAGGAGGGAGAGGAAAAAAATAAAGCCAGAGAGGTGTTTCCATAATAACAATAACATAAATATTGACAGATAGCTCTTATCATGTGTCAGGCACTATTCTAAGCACCTAGATGTATTGACTCATTAATTCTGTAGTAACAGAATCCATGTGAAGTCTGTGAAGTAGGCACCATTATTCATCTCCACGTACAGACGTGGAAATTGAGTCTTAAAGAGGTTAAGTAATTTGCATTATTATTTTCCTGGAGCCTCTCAGAATTAACTTTTTAGTTTAAAGCAAAATGATAGGGGCCAACAGTGGTATAGTAGGTGTGGTGCTGGACTCCCCCATGACTGAACATAGTTTGAGTCCCAGACCCAGTGCTTTGAAACTCACACCTGGCATGTGTGCATGCATGCCCAAAATCCCAAGAGGAGAATGGAGGAGAAGAGATTAAGATGTGGCCATCCCCCCAGGGGTTGATTTCTCTCTTTCTCTCTTTCTCCAGTGAGGACATGGGCCCTATAGCAAAAAATCTCTCTTGAAACTTATGTCATGTTAAGCATTTTTATGTAGCTTGCTACACATGCATTTTCACCCCGGCCTTCTCATGAAAACATTCCCCATGCCTTTTTTTTTCTTTTGAGAGATTTTCACTGTAGGGCACATGCGCTCGCCAGACAGACAGAGAGAGACATAGAGACAGAAAGCGAGAAATCACCCCCCAGGGGAGATGGTCACGCCACAATCCCTTCTCCTCCATTCTCCTCTCGGGATCTTGGGCACGCACGCACACGCGCCCGGCGTGAGTTTTAAGCCACCGGGTCTGGGACACGAACCGCGGTCGACTACGTGGGAGTCCAGCGACATAGCCATTACGCTAACTGCTGGTTCCCCCCATGCCTTTTTTATTCCAGTAAGACTGGGCTACTTCTCGCTCATCAGACTGGCTCTCATACCTCTGCACCTTTTTACCCACTATTTTCTCTGCTTCAAATAATCTTCTTCTCCAACTACACCCTCCTGAAACTTCCTCCTTTCTTCCAGATTCAGTTGAGGCCCCCCTTCTGCCACCCACAGCTGCCATCCCCTATCTCTTAAAAGCCTCCCTGGTTCCCCAGTTCCTTGCAAGTAGGAATCAAGTTTTTTCACACCTTCATCTCTGGCACCTAGTATAGTGCCTGCTACTGAGTGGTGTTTCATTATTTGTTGAATAGTTGAATGAATCAATGGGCAGGCCAGCCTGTGGCATAGTGGTTGAGGCACCTGGATCCCACATGACCATTTTAGTCCCAGACCCGGCGGCTTGAGAATCATGCCAGGCACTCATGTGTGCATGCCTGACACGAAATCCCAGGAGGAGAATAGAGGAGAGGGTATTGCAGTGTGCCATCACCCCTGGGGCATGATTTCTTATTTTTTTTTTTCTTTTGGAGAGGTTTTTGCTATAGGGCGCGTGCGCTCACCAGACAGACAGAGAGAGACAGAGAGACAGAAAGCGAGAAATCACCCCCCAGGGAGGATGACCACGCCACAATCCCTTCTCCTCCATTCTCCTCTCGCACGCACATGTGCCCAGCATGAGTTTTAAGCCACCGGGTCCGGGATGCAAACTGCGGTCGTCTATGTGGAAATCCAGCGACATAGCCATTACGCTAACTACTGGTCTCACCCCTGGGGCATGGGGCATGATTTCTCACTTTCCCTCTCTTATTTCTCTCTGTCTCTCTCCAGTGAGCACACACGCACTATGGCAAAAACCTAAAAAATAAAGAAAAAAAAAAGAATTAGTGGACTTAATGAATACATAAATGCATTTTAATAAATTTTTTAAAAGAAGTAATTAACTTTCTGGTGCCTTACTAAAGAGAAGCAGCAGCTGGCGTTATGGCTATGTCACTGGACTCCCATGTAGTCAACCGCGGTTCAAGTCCTGGACCCCGGTGACTTGAACTCATGCCGGGTGCGTGTGAATGCATGTCCAAGATTCTGAGAGGAGAATAGAGGAGAAGGAATTGCGGCGTGGCCATTCCCCAGGGGGTGATTTCTCGCTTTCTGTCTCTCTGTCTCTCTCTGTCTTTCTGGCAGCACGCACCCAATAGCAAGAACCTCTCCAAAAACAAAAAAAGAGAGAGAAGCAGCTAGTGTTGTAAGATGATTTCTAGGACAACATTCCACACTCTCAGTTATGTTTAAGAAATCGTTTCTCAACAGAAATGAAATGCTTCCTTCCTCTTGCAGATCCTCACTAAGGACTCAGTGACCGTCAGTGTGGATGGCGTGGTCTATTACCGTGTTCAGAACGCGACCCTGGCTGTGGCAAACATCACCAATGCTGACTCAGCAACCCGTCTTTTGGCACAGACTACTCTGAGGAACGTTCTGGGCACCAAGAACCTTTCTCAGATCCTTTCTGACAGAGAAGAAATCGCACACAACATGCAGGTGAGGGCGCGCGAATAAAAACGAGACCACTGGAGCTGAGAACTCCAAGCGCAGAGACAGCTGCTGTGTGAGAATCCTTTATTCACGCGAGCTGGGGAACCTCGCGCCTTTGGTTTCTATGTAGTAAGGTTTTCCAGACTTAACGGAAGGGGCCATTTCCCATACTAACAGCTCATGGATTGGTAGCATTCAGATGCGTGCCTCGTTTTTTTTATTCCCTGCAGTGCGTGTTTTCCAGGATCAGTATTAACCTTGTTGTTTGGTGTGATAGTTCAGAGGTTCTCCTGCAAGATAGTGTAGGCATCGTAAAGCTTCATTCTGTGGGCCAGCAAGTGGTGAGGTGGTTGAGGCGCTGGATCCTACATTGGCCAACTGTGGTTCAAATCCTGGACCCAGCAGCTTGAAAATCACACCGGGTATATGTACATGCCCAAAATCCCAAGACGAGAATTCAGGAGAAGGGATTGCAGTGTAACTGTCCTCCCTCCCTCTCAGGGGGTAGGTGGCTTCTCACTTTCCACCTGTCTCTTTCCAGCAAGCACATGCACCTTATAGCAAAAATCTTTAAAAAAAAAAAAAAAGAAAGAAAGAAAAGAAAAGAAAGAAAAAAAAAGCTTCATTCTGTGTGTAAATCCTATGAAATCTCTCATTAACTGTTAGGTGTTCTACTCTTACTTGAGTAATAGATGCCAGATTAAATTTGGCCTGGAGCCAGCAGGTGGTGTGGTGGTTAAGGTACTGGACTCCCATATCATTTTTTAAAAATTTGGCTTGTTCAAAAAGGATAAAGGGGTTGGGAACCAGCAGTTAGCGTAATGGCTATGTTGCTGGACTCCCACGTAGTCGACTGCGGTTCGCGTTCCGGACCCGGTGGCTTAAACTCACGCCGGGTGCATGTGCGTGCGTGCCTAAGATCCTGAGAGGAGAATGGAGGAGAAGGGATTGCAGCATGCCCATCCCCCCCTGGGGGATGATTTCTCGCTTTCTGTCTCTCTGTCTGTCTCTGTCTGTCTGGCGAGCGCACGCGCCCTATAGTGAAAAACCTCTCAAAAAAAAAACAAAAAAAGGAAAAAGGGCTATAAATCTGAATTCATATTACCAAATAGACTTCATTGTGGACAAAATCTAGGATCTTATTTGATACCCACAACCACCTTATGAAATAGACAGCATGGTTTTATTCCAGCCATGGCTGCTTTCAGCTTACAACATCAGGGTTAAATGGTTGCAGCAGACACTGGAAATAGCAAATCCTGCATGGCCGTTGCAGAAGAAGTTTGCCACCTCTGCATTAGTTTGTTAGTAACAGAATCGGGCTCTCCTCCCCAGTGAGGCAGCCCCACTTCAGCATGCCTTTGACTGCAGGGTAACGAACCTCTCCCAGCCTGTGCTTGCTCCACCTGCAATGAACACAGCCACTGTGGGGAAGCGGGCTGGAGCTGGCCGTGTCTAACCTGCCTTCTCTCTTCCTAACAGTGTACTCTGGACGATGCCACCGATGACTGGGGAATAAAGGTGGAGCGTGTGGAGATTAAGGATGTGAAGCTACCCGTGCAGCTCCAGAGAGCTATGGCCGCAGAAGCCGAAGCATCCCGGGAGGCCCGAGCCAAGGTAATGTGTTTTCTTTTTCCATTTTTTTTTTTTCTTTTTCTTGGGGCTTTTTAAAAATTTTGCCAGAGGATGGGACCAGCAGATGGCATAATGGCTATGTCACTGGACTCCTATGTAGTCGACCGCAGTCCGAGTCCTGGACCTGGTGGCTTAAACTCATGCTGGGCACATGTGCATGCGTGCCCCAGATCCCAAGAGGAGAATGGAGGAGAAGGGATTGTGGCATGGTCATCCCCCCTGGGGGTGATTTCTCACTTTCTGTCTCTCTCTTTCTGGAGAGCACATGCACTCTACATCAAAAACAACCTCTCAAAAAAAAAAATTGCCAGAGGGTATGTGTGCTCACTGGAGAGACAAGAAGAGAGGGAAAGTGAGAAAGCACCCCTGCTCGTGGTGCAGGCCCTGCTCCTCCATCGCTCCCTCCTGTCGGAATTTTGGGCACACATGCACATGTGCCTGGGTTATTTCTCAGGTTTCTGGGTCTGGGACTCAAACTGTGCAGTCGTAATGAGTTACTTCATTCTTTTATGACTGCATGCCCCATACTTTATGCTCCTTATTATTACTATTTTTTTTAGAAGTGCTTATTGGGACCAGCAGATGGCATAATGGTTATGTTGCTGGACTCCCAGATGACTGACCATAGTTTAAGTCTTGGACCCGGCAGCTTGAAACTCACACTGGGCATGTGTGCATGCATGCCCAAAATCCCAAGAAGAGAATGGAGAAGGGATTGTGGCGTGGCCCTCCCCTCCGCCCCCGGGGGTGATTTCTTGCTTTCTATCTCTCTGTGTCTCTCTGGCAAGCACAAGTCCTGTAACAAAAACCTCTCAAAAAATAAAAGTGTATTTACTTATTTTTTCCATGAGAGAGAAAGGAAAACAGAAATAAAGAGAGAAAAGAAAGGTAGGCACCTCAACAGAGTTCTTGCACCACGATCCATTCCCCAGTCTAAGCCAGCCCGGATCATGGCACTGTGTACACATGCTGCATGTGGAAGGAGGTCGCAGGATATGAACCCAGGACCTTTCCATGCAGATCCACCTGTTACCACCGTGTCCCCACCAATCCATTAACTTTTTAAATTTTTTATTTATTATTATTATTCTTAATTTGTTGTAGTCACCAGAGAGAGAGGGAAAGTGAGAAAACAAGCCGTCAGGTCCAGGACTTGAACCACAGCCAGCCATGTGGAAGTCCAGCATCTTAACCATACCACCTGCCAGCCCCTCCTCATCCATTATTTTTTTATAAAGAATTATTTTATTTTAACTTTATTTACTTATTTTAATTTGACTAGAGAGCAAGAGAGAGGGAGAGGGAGAGAGCAAGCTACCAGGTCCAGGTCTCAAACCACAGTCAGCCATGTGGGAGTCTAGCGCCCTAAACCACCACACCACCTCCCAGCTCCCCTAATCCATTATTAACTTCAGAGCAGAAATGCATTCTCATCAGTTTCCTACTGTCCATTCCTCACTTATTTTTGTCTTGTCTTTCCTAATGTCTCTTTTTTCAGGATCTTCTTCCTTCTTACTGTTTTCTCTTTTGCTGTCTCCCTTTTCCTCTTTTTTTACTTCTCTTTTTTGATATCTGCTTTTTTCTCTCTCTTTTCATCATCATCTCTGCCTGTGTCTTAACCCAGCATGGGTGGCCTGGCCCCTCTGGGAAGTGCTGAGGAAATATTTGCTAAGAGGATCTTCTTTTTCAAGGTTTTTGCCATAAGGTGTGTACTTGCTAGAGAGAAACAGAGAGAGAAAATGAGAAATCCTCCCCCAGGGGCAATAGCCACATTGCAATCCCATCTTTTCTAGTCTCCTCTCAGAATTATGGGCATATATATATATATACATGTGCCTGGCATATTTTTCAAACCTCTGGGTCAAGGACTTTAACTGCAGGGTATCTTGCTGAACCCCAGAGCAGGAAGCAGAGTCAAGCCTCACCATTGGAACTAGCAACTGGAAAGCAGGCAAGACCTAAGGGGGCTAGTCGTTCCCTTTCGTGGGCCACATCTCACTGTAGAGAGCCTGTGGTGGAGAATGCTCTTAAGTTTACTTGTCTTCCCAGGGGGACAATAAAGGAGACAGACCCACCCTAATTCCACATTCACAGAAGAGAGATTCTCTTGGGTCCTTCTTTGCTCAAAGGACAAAGGCAGATACTAATACAGGCCCACAGCCCCATGCCAATGAGTGGTGGAGGAAGAGGTACAGTTTCTATGGGAAGAGTTGCTATGAACTTGACAGATCTCCCAGAAGCCAAGGAGCAAACCACTTTGTTTTTATTAGAGAGTAGTAATAGCTAAGCCAGCAGGTGACGTGGTAGTTAAGGCACTGGATCCCACATGGCCAACTCTATAGTTCAAGTCCCAGACCCTGATGCCTGAAAACCACCCCAAGAGCATGTGCATACATGCCCAAAATCCAGAGAGGAGAATGGAGGTTAAGGGATTGTGGCATGGCCATCGCCCTAGGGTACGATTTCTCTTTACCTCTCCGTGTCTC